CAATTTAATAAACATTAAATCAACCAAAGGAAATTACAACTTGGACCTAATTAAAGAGCTAGGGGGACTCAATCTCGAGTGACTCTTCTCTTGCTTAAGAACTTCGAACAATTTACTGCTTTTTTCTATTTACATTGAATTCACCTACACTAACTTAGTCTTGCTAGATAATAGCTAGATAGTAGAAGTTCATGGAGTAGTCAGTAGATCTAGACCCCAGGTTGATAAATTAAACTTACCTACTATTCTGCATTTATAGATTGCGATTATACTTGGTCGTAGTTTGGTGTTGTGTCATAGCGTGTCAGCAGGGAAGTACGCAATCGCTTCTCAAAACACGGTCGTTCCCAATGATGAATACGGTCGTGTTCTTCTCTAGTCTTGCCCGTGCTTTCCATTCTTCATCAACCTTCATGATCCAACCCTCGACATAAAATACACGGGGGCGGCTCCTAGTGGACACAGGCGTGTTCTTGCCTGTGTTCTGCTCCTAAGACGAGAACACTCTCGCACTAAAAAGCACCGACGCACCCTGGGTTAAACGCGACCGTGTCCTAGGTAGGGGACGAACGTCTCTGCTCCAGCTTCGCCAAATGACTCCAAATGACCCGAAACAGTTTACAAAAGAGCACAACCTAGCTTAAAATAGGCCAAAGAAACCCAAATTCGAGCCAAAACGGTTAAGAAACAAGGGTGCAAACATGTGAAAATACGACGTTATCAATGCGCCTTTTAGAACCATGAGTAACAACATAATAGAATCATAAGCATTGATATCTAAAGCATACAAAGACTAAGCATAAAACATATCAAGCAATAGATGATACAAGCATAAATTAACTCAAGCATCGATGGTAAGATCATTGAACACAATCGACATCTCATTGAATCATTGAAAGTATTACATAAAAATTCTTAGAGTCACATCCCTAAACAATTTTGAGCTATCTATAGATAGGAGAATAAGAAGACATCACTAGTGATATAGGCATAAATGGTGAAAACTTCTTGTCGAGCTCTATCTCGCCTCCTCTTTATTGATTTCTAACTCGTGCCCTTGGGGCAGAGTGTTGGTAGAAGGTGTGTCTAAAAGTTCTAGCTTAGCCTCCTATTTATACTAGTTATAGAAGGGGATTTTCTAGTCTTTTTCCTCCAAAATTCGGCCAAAACCTTCCTTGTATGATTTGAACTCAGATTCCTTCGACTTGGGTATGAAGTAAGGTCATCCTGGAAGCTTATGTAGAGCTAGGGCTTGAACGACATATCCATGTCAGTTGGGGCTAATGCCTCTTTTCCACTAGGGCTTTGTTTCTTGGGCCAAAAGCAACCTCTCCTCCAAACTCTAGTGCATTTCGACTTATAGAACTCCGGTTGGACCTCGATCAAAGTTGGGCTTGCTACACTACCATATATGCTTGTTTTTGCCATAAAGTGAGTATCCAATGTCCAAATTTATCTCTGTTTTGAGTCCATGAGTTTTTATTCTTCTCCTCCTTCTAATACATTAGGTCCTTTGGGGATCCGAATTCACTCTCATTGACTTCATGTTGCCTGCATTTGACCATGACATCGACTGCTTCCAGGCTTCATAGTCTTCACCTCTACCTACAGTAATGGATAACTGGATATGGATCCATTGACGAAGCAAACTTTGTTCTTGGCGATGAAGGAATCAGTCTTGAACCCACCTGCTCACCATAATATGCCTCCGTTAGTAACTTGCCAATGAAGAGCTAGTTGGGACTGTCAGATTGGTGAATTGTGAAAAGCAACGACCGTTTAGTCACATCACTCATGCCAATGATTCCTTTGGACGCCTGTGGATGAATTCATCTTCCTTCTCACTCATATTGAAATCTTGTCGTCGAATCATTCACATTATATCTTATATCATGTAGAAATTGATAATAAAGAAAACACTATACAAGGATGGCTTCCTCGTTCTGTATGAACGAGACTAGTCCACGGAGAATGTGAGTTCTCAGGATTTCTTATTGATCGTGATTTTGTGACTTTGAGTTTGACTGAACCAAAGACCTCTAATATATTAGAATCCTTGTACAACAAGCAACAAGAGGAACGACAAATTACATTATGATCCCTATTCTTAAGGAAAGGGATAAATAAGTAAAGGAAAAGGAATCGTAATAGATATACTTCATATTTTAAAAATATTAACATAATCATATTATGATGGTAGGAAATCCCACTCATCTTGAATCTTGACTATCACAACCTTGATGTCATGACACTACCTATCTAGAGCAAGCTAAGCTAATGGGGAGACCAAGCATGTGGGAGGTGATGAAGATGATCATATGATGGATGTGTTTCAAATTTTCGCTTCTATAAGAATTGCTTTTTTGGAGGAGTTAAGTAGCTACAAAGCGGTGGTGGGGTTGCGTGTAGTTCACGAGGGGCTAGAGACTATATTGCACTAGTGGACTATAGACTATTGCATAGATCTCTTAGCGTACACTAGTTATATGGAGGCCAAAGACTATATTGTTGCACTAGTAGACTATATTGGTGTGCTAGCACATACTTCTAGTATGCTTCAAGAAACTTGTGGTAAACTTATGAGATTTATGGTTTGCTTTACGAAATTTGTGGTCTTCTTTATGATATTTCTGCTATACATTAAGATACTTGTGGTCAACTTTATGAGGTTTTGGTCCGCTTCAGGGAACTTGTGGTTTGCTTTATGAGGTTTCTAGTCTACTTTAAGAAACATGTTGCCTATTTTATGAGGTTCTAGTGTCCTTAAGGAAACTTATGGTCTCATTTATGAGGTTTCTGGAATTGTTTAAGAAACTTGTGGTCAGTTTTATGAGGTTTCTCGATTATTTTTAGAAAACTTGTGGTCAGCTTTATGAGATTTATGGTATGCTTCAAAGAACTTGTGGTCAGCTTTACGAGGTTTCTGGTATGCTTTAGGGAACTTGTGGCTAGCTTTATAAGGTTTTCAAGTATGCTTCAGGAACATGTGGTCACATTTATAAGGTTTGTGATATGTTTTAAGAAACATATGGTCAGCTTTGATTTTTCTGGTATACGTTATGAATTTTGTGGTGTGGTCTGATATGCTTAATAAATTCGATCTCTAGTCTACTTTATGTTATTTGTGTTGTGGTTGTTGTGTTCGTGATATATGTTTCTCGTATACTTCATAATACTAGTACTCGTTGTGACAAGACACAGAATAAATGAGCAGCGTCATTCCATTTTTAAAATGACAAACATGTATTCCCTTAAATCATCCACAACATGACAACTATGTTTGGCGAATGTGACATCACATGCTGGCGTTGCGTCTGAATATTATTTCAGTATACCGACTTAAGCCTTCACAATGATGGAAAATAAAAAACAGAAAGTACCATCAACTTGCCCGTATATAAATCTCTCCCCTCTTTTTTTTTTTTTTTTTTCCTTCTTTCTTTCGGGTGAGACTTGAACCTCTCTCATTTTTGCAACCTTTTTTGTGATAAAATCAAAGGGAAAAAACAAGCCCTACGCACTCATGGGTCTTTTGGATAAAGCCTTGGTCAAAAAGGGAACCAAATGGGAATATTATACACAACTTTGTTTATAATAACTTTTTATGAAATTTTATAAGGTTTTATCATTTTCATCAATGGTTAAAATATCAAATTACTCTTCGAATGAAGGAGATATATATGAATTTACCCCAATATGTAGGCAAAATTTGTTACATCTGACCTTAGATAAAGTTTGAAACTCTTCCTAATTTCAAAGTGACGACTTCAGACTAAATTGATTGTGAAACCGATTTAAGGACTAAATGATTGAAGAACTTTAAGTTCAGTCCAATTTGTCAAAATCTAAACTATCAGGTTATTAAAATGAAAATTTCCTTAAATCACTTGTAACATAGTATTTTAGTCAATGCTTAATGATTGAAGAACTTTCATTTGCTTGTGTAAAAACATAAATCAAGAGCTAATTATGTCCAAATCTCCTGCTATTATTTCGAGACCATAAGGACAAATTTCAAAACAATCTAGCTGAGCGAGTACCTACAGATCCATGGGAGTTGGGTACTCAGATCTTGTGTTCATGAGCATAACATACATTATTTCTTTGAACACCCATATCATAATGTTATCGAATTTTTTCTATAAATATATCTCCACAAAGACTACTAAGATTCATAAATTATCTATATTTTTAGGTTTATATTTTTCATAAAAACTAATAACAACAACATGTTAATTATATTGTTTTGGTTCGATACAAAATGACGTGGTTTTGCTTTATATATAGGAGTAGGTTAGGTGGAAAACTGGTTGGATTTTGGCAAAAGCCAAACCCAACCCAACCGCGCTTGTTTCAAAAGCAGAGAAAACCTTTACTCGATCCAAAATTCTTCAAACATTAAGTTTTAGCCAAAGTGACCGGTTGGGTACGCATATGGGTTCGATCGGGTTCAATTTCCATCCCCACTCATTAGGCAAACATGTATGGGAATGTAATCATCCAACTTGGTATTGAACTGTAGCACTTTGGTAACCTAGACATATATAGAAGCATCAATATCATCATCATACTCTAGTTAAATTGCTAAATTACTCATGATGATGAAAACTAACATCCAAGTACGAGGTTGGTGCCGTAACATCCGGCTAAGATTAGATTCGAATGATGATGAACGTACGATGGAAAACAGGACGAAAGTCCTTCCCCACTTCCTGGAACCCATTCATCAATTTCATATACGTAGGTGAAACGTGTACAGTCCTGTGTTGGACTACTCTGATCGGCTCTAGATTCACCCAAGTCTCTCTCTCTCTCTCTCTTTCTCACTTTCTATCCTACGTAGAATATTTCATTGAACTTTCTTCGAATACCCCGCCAGCTTGTTTGCACCAACCCCCACCCCTGCCCGATTATATTATTTTAAGACGAAGACCGGTTTAGGGCTGGCAAGCATGCATCATCAGGTCTCCATGCTCATTTGACCTCGATCTCAATCATATAACTGACATTGAAGAAAATAGTAAGGAAGAAAAAAATGGCGAGAACTCCTTACACTGACAAGAATGGTGTGAAGAAGGGCACTTGGACTGCAGAAGAAGACATGAGGCTTGCTGCCTACGTCGCTGCGCACGGTTGCCGGAACTGGCGCCGATTGCCTAAATATGCTGGTATACTAGACTAACATACATGCATATGTATATATGGGTCGAAATTCTGGTAACTGATCTTTTCTTCTTTCTTATTAATATGTGGACTGTAATACTACTGCAGGTTTGGCAAGATGCGGGAAGAGTTGCCGGTTGCGGTGGCTGAATTATCTGAGGCCCGACATTAAAAGAGGGAATTTCACAGAGGAAGAGGAAGATGCCATCGTTGCTTTACATGGATCGCTCGGAAACAAGTGAGTCTATCTTCTCATGTGAATTATTAACATTCAGGCAAGCGTTGTATTAGTCGGTGTGATACTATACTTTTAACTAGGGCTGGCAAATCGGTTGCCGGTTAGCGGTTAGCCGCCGGTTATAACCGAAAACCGACACTAACCGACTAACCGAAAACCGGCAAAAACCGACCTCGGTCGGTGTTCGGATGCGTATCAGAGGGCTCCGGCTAGCCGAATAACCGGACATAATTAACCGCGGCTAACCGGCTAACCGACCCTCACCGAAAATTTCCTTCTCCCCACCCCCTAAATCAACGACTTCCACATAAATCTCTCTCACTACCAAAGCAGAGCAACAACAACAGAAAAGAAAAGAAACAAAAAAGAAACAAATCCTCCAATTCCAATTCCAATTCCCTTCCACCCAAAATTTATTGTGGTTTCCCCAATTTCTTCTTCCTCCTCCACACAGTCAAGAACCAAAGAAACAAAGAAGGAAGAATCGAAATAAAAAAAATCGGATTCTTACGCAGAAAGAAAGAAAGGAAAGGGAAGAAGATGGGAATGTCGTCGTCGGAGATAGCATGCAAGAAGCACCCGGGGCACGAGGAGAAGCGAGGGGTCTGCCCTTCCTGCCTAAGCGATCGCCTCTTCCACTTCAACCACGCCGCCGTCAGGGGTAAACCAGCCGCCGTTCATTCCTCTGCTGCTGCCGCCTCCACCCTCGTCGGCCGTCGCCCAGCCGCCTACATCATAGAAGAAGAGGTTTGGTCTGGGTAAAAGAAAGAGGAGAGAAGAGGAAGAAGATAAGAAAGTTTTGATTTTTTTCTTTGTTTCTGGGTAAAAGAGAGAGGAGAGAAGAGAGAGGAGAGAAGAGAGAGGTTTGTTTATGCGTAGAAAGAGAGAGGAGAGAAGAGGAAGAAGATAAGGTATGTGTGGCTAGCACTTTGTTTATTTATTTCTTTCAATTTTTTTTTTAATTTTTAAATCTTATCTCTTGTGGTTACTGGTCGGTTAGGCAATTAAACCGAACTGGCCTTCACATTTTCGGTTGCCCCGGTTAAACCGCACCTAAACCGAAAACCGGCCGGTCGGTTTGTGGCTAACCGGGGCTGTTTGAACGGTCGGTCGTCGGTAGGCCTTGGTCGTGTCTCGGTTTAACCGAAAACCGAGATTTCGGTTTTCGGTTAAACCGAAACCGACCGGCTGCCACCCCTACTTTTAACCCTTCATAAAATTCAAAGGCGTACAAATAATGAATCTTGATTTTACTCATTAGGGCTTAGGGTTACAAACTAGGATTAATTCAAAATTTAGACAACGTTTTTTTCGCTAGGAGTACGTGTGTTGCCCTCATATATACCAAGAACCTCAATATGCATGTCTGGTTAACTGGACTAATTGATAGGTCATATATGGTCTTGAATCGCTGCAGATGGTCGATAATTGCTACCCATTTGCCAGGGAGAACCGACAACGAGATTAAGAACTACTGGAACACTCACATGACCAAGAAATCTCAACCTAAACCCACCACTACAGACCCTGCACAGCCAATTGTTTGCAGCAGCAACGACAGTAATAGTACGCATGAAACCAACGTTGAGGTCGTCTCGCCCTCCCAGAATGATCAATTCTACTTGTCCCTGCCACATATGTCACCAACAACTGACAGCCCGAATGCAATCAGTAGCAGTTCGGTTTTGATGGTGAATGATATCTATCAGTCTGATTTTGGTGGCGATTTTTGGTCGCAGCCATTCCTGGTTGATGCTGATGATGACTATACAAAGCGGGAGATTTACAGTACCACTGATGATCCATATTTCGGCCCATTATACGAAGGAGACAATGATTACATGCTTTGGCTTCATTATGGCTTGCACAATGAGTTGGTGCAAGGGCCGGCACCAGTTTGTTAAGATGTACTATGTAGTCCAGGGCTGGGCCCACAGATGTTTTGAACTAATATGCGGCATAAATAATTACGTGAGTTCATAGTTGCTGCAAAATAAAGCAACTATGATGTGTTGAAAACCCCATGATGTATGTTTAAGGATGGTGTTAAATATCGTCAGTTGATGGTTATTTCTTGTGAATGTTTCATGAGAGACCTTATCTATAATCTTAAAGAGCTTCACTGGAACCCGATGAAAGACCTCCCAATATCTTTGATGTGTGTAACGAAGAGGTGGAGTATATATGGCTGATGTCTAAGCTTGTGGTAGTTACAGGCAAAGGAAAAACTTACGAATCGAACACTAATCCGACTCACCGAGTGCAATTTTTTTAAAGCGGGATGGAGGTGGGAATTTGAACCCAGTCCACCAATTCATAATCTAACTTATATAAATCATTTAATTCAAATTCAATTGGATAGGATTAATGTTGGAAAATTATAGTTTAGTATATAATTTTTTTATTATTTTACAATTTGATACCTAAATTCTAATTCTTTTTTGAAAAAAATATCATTGAAAATTTATGTTTTGATGCCTAATATTGTTTATAATGACACTTTAGTGTCTAAATTTTTTTTAAAAAAAATTGATAGTTCCAAGTCTAGATGTAACTTGAATTCATTGATTCAATCCATGAATCGACAAATCTCATTTGCCACCTCTATCCCTAGGTATGATGTTCAATTCATTTACTATGACTTGAACGATTGTACGATCGAGTTCATGCATGTTTACAGATGAGCTTACTGTTTATGTATGTTAGACTGTGTGGGCAAAACCCTTTGATAATATAATGACGATTTCCACCTTTTCATGCGACCCCAACGAACATACTGGCTAATCTTTTCAATGTATAACATCGTGGTCTGAACCAATGCAGTCAAAAGCGTGATTCTACCTAAAAGCGGAAAAGGAAAATCGAAAAGCGATGAATCAAAGCGTAAAAGCGTAAGTTTTTTATGCATCCTGTATAATAGTTAAAAATCTGTTAAGTACGACATAAACTATGTAAAATATAAGTGCACAGAGTTTAGATAAAAAAATACCTGCAATTCATGTCTAAATTAGAACAAACTCATAACATATTAACAATAACTTCATAAATATAAATCATAACCCACATACGAGTTAAAAATCCAAATTCTCACAACTAGGTTAAGTTTACATAATAACATACAAGTTTAATAATCCAAGTTCTCGAAATCAAAGCACACAAATGTTATAAATGACAGAAGGAAAACTACATCAATTCATCGGTTTCTATAATCTCCCATCATCAAAAGTTGTCATCCTTTTTTATATTATGAAAACTCAGCCATTGATTTGAGAACGTTAGATCGATGTAGGATCCAAGATGGAAACAAAGAGAAACCCCATTTCATTTAGCTTATACAAATTCGGAAAACAAAGAACCAAAACTCCAATAAAAAAAGTATGAAAAAGCAAGGAATGGATCAGAACATTGGGTTGAATATCTCCATAGGAGATACATTTCGGACAGTATAATCAATTTCGATCATCTAGGGAAAGTATCATCACATCCACAACGAAACACAATTACTCAAATTGATCCAAAATTTAGAAATCATCGGGGGGGGGGGGGGGGGGGGGGGGGGGGGTTGGAGTGCAAACCATCAGAAACCTAAAAAAGAAACCACAGAGCAACATTGAAGTTGTTGTACAGTCAGAGCAACATTGAAGTTGTTGTACGGTCCGCAACTCCGCATCATGATTTGGGCACGATTTGGCAAACTTCTATTATCTAGCAAACTAAGTGTGGTGAGTTGTTCAATCGCAAAGTAAACAGAAAGCAAGAAATGTTCTGGTTTTTCAAGTATGTCAAAGGTCATCCAGGTATGATTCCCTCTAGTACGCAGCTAGTTCAGATTATATGTTCCCATTTTGTTCAGATTGAAAGATATACTGCGGAAAGTTCTTGACAAGTTTGGAATCTCGACTAAAGTAATCTAGACCCTCTTGGTTCAAATACCCGGCGGGCGACTAACCTCCACCTGCATAAACTGCCAATGATACAAGCCAAATTAGCCAATTCTACAAGTTACAACCGCTGGACCAAAAAGCAATCTCAATTGGCAAAAAAGGGGGCAGAATTTGGCCAAGTGTGAAAACAGTTTTATGGTGCTAAATTTGGAGATTCATTTATTACAATTGGCTCGATGAAAATGCAAGAAGAAGGGTTTGTATTGAAGACCACATGTGTTTCTTCAAGATGGAAGGATTGGTGGATCCAGAACAAGTCATTAAGGTCATTTTCCAAAGCCTTAAAGTTGATATCTCAAAACAGGAAAACGTGACTATGAAGCCTACTTTGGAGGTCAATTCGAGAAGTATGGTTGAGAATCGAGTCAGGAGCTTCATACCATATGAAAGTAGATATGTTCTACTAAAAAGACATGGCATTGGATGATTGAAAGCATACCTAGAAGGCTTGGATCGAAAGGCTCAAAATTGCTATGAAACCTGTTTTTCTAGCATTTTGCCTATGCTACAAGGCAGCTTACTTGAGCTGGAAGAAAGAGAGTTTTGGCCGAGTTTTGTGTCCTTTTTAGAATAAACTTTTACCTTATTTGTTTCCTTATTCATTTAAGTTTGTATTAGGTTTTCTATGGCTATAAAAAGCCTTCTATTTACATCGTAATTGTTTAGAGAATTGTTGAATAAAATTACTCCGAGTAGTTTGTTCATGTTCTTGGAGTTTTGGCTCGATAATCATCCATTGTTTTAACTACGTGTGGATTCCATAGCTACTACAAGATCCTTCTTCAAGCTTTTCTGTTGAAAAGTCCAGAATTGTGTTAACAAGTCTCCTATCAATCAAGTAAACATCTTGATTGTGGCAAGAATTTTACCTATCCATTCACTATCGTTCTATTGTTCGTTAACTGCGTAATTCCGATGAAAACGAACCCCCAGGGTTCATCATCCAAACAACTATTTTTTCCAACGTCTAGGTAGAATTAGGCAACGGCTACAGAAGCTATACGTTAGGACCTTACACCAAGCGCATTTTTCAACCGTAGTTTAGTATAATATATAACATTATAACTATTATCTCCCTATATTTTCTAGGAGGCTGCTGGTTGTACTGGTAACGTGATCTTGGATGGAATAAAAGATGCTAAAAAAATCAAGGACCTGAGTGTCAAACTAACTCGTTATAGCACTTGCTGAAAGTATTAACTAGAAGGGACTAGCAACCTGTGTCTCTCATACACGAAAGAAATAAAACATGCTACCTAACTCTGTCTAGGTACACGTTGCAAAATGGAGAAAAGTGCATTAAAGATTGGTTCACCCCAAATCTTGAACACAAAGGTAAAAAAAAAAAACAAGGGCATGGTTTCTAACATGCTACTAAACGGGGTATGTAGATACGGAAGTCTATCTTTGAATTCTGAATTTGAAATTTCCCAAATTCAGCACTATTATCGCTAAACCAAACTGCAGTTCACAACAATTTAGATCTTTTTGTTTCTACTAAACTCTTTCATGCTAGAAATACAGGTACATGATAAAAACAAGTTACTAGATACACTTCTGATGCATATGCTCAAATAACCGAACTTACAGATGGGCACCTCCAGCCAACAACTGCTTTGCCCGGCCGCATTTGATCAATTCGCCGCGCCAGCGTAAACGGCCTCCAACCTTGCTGCGCTCCGCCTGAAAAACAGGACCAAATCCGCCTCCTCCCAGGGCTCGAAGTTCTCCAATGTGACTTCCCTTAAGGTATGGCGCCAGCACTTGATTGGCCACCATCTCTCGCAGCAGAGCAGCTCGTCCTTACCACCCGCAGCATCTCGTTGCACATAGTAATTCAGCTGCGCTTGCAAAAATGGAGATCCAACAACGAAACGAATTAGAAAATAGGTGCATTCATATATTCCAGCCCTCAATTTTAAGAGAGTACATTTTGACATGATAAATTGTGACGTAGGACGTACCTTGAGGGTCCTTCTCTTGTCCCGAAAGAGCAAAGAGAGTACACTGACGTGAGGAGCAAGCCACAGCAGACTGTCGACCAAAGTAACAAACCCACCGCTCCTCCGAGGGTAATCTTTCACCACCGTCTCCAAGCTCCTCAAATCATACATCGGAGCAGTCTTCCCGTCCCTCAAACTCGCATCAATGATCAAATCCTGCGCGCCAACACACACACACACAAATATATCAGCCCCAAAACGTAGGCAGCAAACATATTACAAGTGAAATTCGAAACGTTTCAGTCATTAATTACCTTTGCAGCAGCAGCCACCAGAGTCAGATGCCTACACTGGCCAAACGACTTCAGAAACTCCCTCGACGCCGCGAGCCGCTCCTCGCCGAACGATCCCGAAGGCAGCCCGAGCGTGGCGACCAACAGGCCGCGGCCGCAGATTGCGGCCGCACGGGGCACGAGGCTGCTGCAGCTGTGCCTGAACTCGCCCAAACTGTCGGCCACAATTTCATATGCTTCACCTCATCGCACCCTTCCATCACGAGCCGCTCCAGCCCCCGGTGGTGGACTCTCACCGCCTCCAGGTGGCCGCAGCCTCTCAGCTCCAGACACTTGAGCCCTCCCAACTTCCGCAGGTTGGCATCGATCCACTCGCCCGTGACGCAGACCTGGAACAGCTCCAGCTTCTCCAGGGACCCGCACCCCGAGATGTCGAATTCTCTACAGAACTTCTCGTCCTTGTAACCGACCTTGAGTGTTTGGAGATTCGGGGCCCGGACTCGGACCCCGACGGGTCTCCGGGACGAGATCTCCAGCTGGAGGAGCTGGAGATTCTCGCCGCCACCGGACAGGTCCAGATCCCCGCCTAGGGGTTGGAATTGGGTGAGAATCAACGACTCCAGGCTCCGCAGCCTGGCTGCCACGTCGGCGGCCCATTGGTCCGGGATCGACACGTTGGACACCGAGATTCGGGTCAGGCAAGGGCAGGCGGCGGGGATTTTGAGGTCGTAGGGGCCCTTGACGCGGTTTTTGCCGACGAACGAGAAGGACTCGAGGCGGCTCGAGGTTTGGGGGTCTAGGGTTAGGGCTACGAGGCCGGGGCATGAGTCTACTTCTAGG